CGCCTACATATGTATTTACCCATAATTCAGCAATGATCTTATTGATTTTTTCCATATTCATTGTATGAAATCGCATTGTGGCATTATCAAGAACCTTGCAGTATATTTCAAGGTCCTTAACACCCAATTCACTAGTCTATATATATGAATAAAAAAAAATTTTTTTAGTAAAATCCTAATTTCTAATAAATATGAATAATAACTGTCATAATTACTTTAAATACGATAAACTGATCAGCGTATCTATCGTTAATGTCTTTATATTCCGTGTTTAGTTCATTTTGTCCTCTTCGAATAGCCTCTTCTAATTGTTTAAGCACTCCAGTATACCTTGCAGACTACAAAAAGAAATAAAATTCAGTATGGAAGAATAAATTGTACAAAGATGAATAAACCATAATCAAATTATTTACATCAGATAGCACTGTCTCTTGAAATTTTTGTAGTTCGTCCAATCGAATCTTATAATTTGAGCCTCTCTTTTTGCAGATTCTTTTCGTTAATTTGACTCTGCAATCTTCTGTATTTAAGATTTTCATCAATTGATCTCTGAATTTCTCGTGCATCAGATGCTTGTTTTCCATATTTCACAATAGTTTTTATATTTTGCCTAGATTGCCTATGAGAATCAATTTCCGAACGTATCTTATTATATTTTTTATTCAATTCTGTTTCTTTTTGTTGAGCTCGTTCCTACAAAATTCATATTTTAATTAATTAATTAAAAAGTTAATATATTTACGTGTGATTAATAATTTATTAAAAAAAAAAAAAAATTATAAAACACCTTTTTGTTTGGTAAGAGCATTATTTTTTCATCTATTTCAGTTTGAAGTATATCTTTAAATCTTTGCAAATTCGTGGCAGTCAATGGAACAGTTAAAAATGCTCTAAAATTAATTTTCTACTAATCTCTCGAACCAAATTTTCAAGATTTTCGATTCGTTGATCATTAGTATTTTGTTCAGCTTGTAATTGCCCCCTATTTGTATGTAGGGTATTTAAAGAACGAAGAGTCGAAATTCCTTGATCAACAGAAGATTTCTGCCTCTCTAAGCTTTTTCGATCAGTATCTTGAGTATGCATAATCTTGTCTAATCTTCATCAATTCTTCATCAGATTCTAAACAATCAATAAGATTGATAAAAATTATATATAAATTACTAATATTTTTTGATTGTTTGTGATCCAAAATTTAGATTTACCATGCATCTCTTTCAAAGAACTTGATAATTCATCAATTTGTTTCTCTACGGTATTTCTTTCCTTATTTTTTATGATAATTTCAGCATTGATATCATCCAATTTACGAATTGTTTGTATTAATTCATTAATTTCTTGACTATTTTTATCTTTTTGTACATTAAGAACTACCATTTTTCGAATAATTCATTTCTTTCTTGATCAGAATTCAACCTTTCTTCTATTTTAGCAGCTCTTTCTTTTTCAATCCTTAGCTGTTCTAAAGAAATTTTATCTTCACAAAGTTTCTGCACCTCTGTTTTTCGTAATTCAGTAATATTGGCAATAGCTTTTGTCCATCTTGTTGCAGCAAATATTTCAGTAGGTTCAGATAAAGACAAGAAGGATAGGAATTTCACGGTCAAGGTTAGCACAACGAGTTGAAAGACTAGCAGGTTGATCTATTTTTTTTAGGATCAATAGCTTGTAATAAAGTTTCGAGAGTTGTCGCCTTTATAGAATTAGTTGAAGTAACTTTTGCTTTCATTGATCTAGTACAAGTAATTTTCCTTCCATTAACACTATTAAATTGTAATTTTACTTGACCTTTAACTTCAGTTTCGTTAACAAGCGTTGGATCATGAATAAAGGCACCACCAACTTTAGCACCTGGTGGGAGGTCGTCTGTGGTCGTGTATTTTAAGCATTCTATTATAGTTGTTTTTCTGGATCCGTTGGGTCCAACAATAATGGTGAGAGGTGTTTGAAAAACAACGATCTGTAATCGATTTGGGTTAAAATAAAATATTATGAGAGTTATTTCTTTCAATAATCATGTGTAATGGAAAAAGATATTCATTGAATATCCAATATTCGGGTACACAAAATTCATGTTACGTGCGTATATAATAACGCTTCGAATTGCAGATCAGGGACTTTAACAGTAACTTTCACTAGAACTACCGTTACATTTTTACGTTTTTCCGAGTAACTTTGAGCGTAAGTGTATAATTCCGTTTATACATCGGTCATGCACATCCCTACTGGCGTATGGCCATTACGTCCTGCGTTAGATGTTTGGATATAGACTATAGGTGGTCTCCTTGGGCATGCGTGCCTCTGGCGATTCTTCTTTATGCTGTTTTCCAGGGTGTGTGTATACCTACTAACGTACAGCCATTACGTCTTGCGTTAGATGTTTTGGAAACAGTCTATAGGTGGTCTCCTTGGGCATGCGTGTCTCTGGCGATTCTCCCTTATGCTGTTTTCCAGTATACCATTGACTTTGACATGCATCTTTTATTGATTTGTGTATATATAATACCTACGTGCTTAAGTTACTCACGATATATCTATTTAATTGCAAGATGTTCGAATTGATCTTAAACGAATATTTTAAAATTACGGAATAATACAAGAATTGGTCTGTTGTCAAGTTACTAGAATATGTTGAATCAAAGTCTGATATATCTGATGATGTGTTCGAAACCCTTAAAGAAGAAATAAGATTAATTTTGCTAAGTTACAAAAGCAGCTGCAACACTAATGAAAATGCAGAAATCAAAGCGGAAGAATTTTATCAAGCTTTGACAAGTCTTTTTCCTCAACCGACGTGAAGCAATTCATCGATAGATTAAAGCTAAAAGGAATTTCACACAACAGTGTGTAGAAACGTTATATCGGCAAGTACATTACAAGCACTAGGGGTGAGTTTAATGCAAGCCTGGGAATGATTAAGAGTATGGTAATTCCAAAAACTCCTTCAGAAATGAGCTACCTTCTAGTAGATTTTATTAGAGATTTACTTAGACGTCGCGTACGTATTTCTTTAATTATAAATATAATTGAGTTTTTCCTATTTCTAATAAATTTTTACATCTTAAATATAGCATACTTTGTTATGGTTAAATAATAAATTAATCCAATTAGCAAAAAAAAAATATTTAACACCATCACCAGCTCCATCACCTCCACCATAAACATTCTGAAGTTAAATGGGTTAATGATGACGTTTTTGCTATACTTGACGATTTATATTAAAGAATTGGTGATTGTATAGAAATAATCACTAACTTGTATTTTGATTTTTTTCATTAACATAAGTCAAGTAATTCACGTCAAACCAGTACTGTATTGTATAGAAATAGGGATCTTGTAAGTAATCTACACGGTATTATATATTATCTTTAGGTTTATAGATACCTTCAACGTTCATTAATTAGAGTTGAGTATGAATGATTATATTGATTATCTTCCCCAGCATCGCCAGGGCAAAATACGGACGTGTATTAAAAATTTGGACTGAAATATGCGATGAGCATATATGAGCATATGGGTCATATATTTTCGACATCATATGTATGCATATATGTCAATTCTACAATGTGTAAAGGATTAAATTTTATATCAGTTCACTATTAATTCATATCCCACGTCGTTATAAAAGAAAATTTGAATCGTGGACTGGAATATGCATTTATATTTTCGCATATCACATGTGCTCGTACGCAAGTGAATATTTTCAAAAATCTTTTTTAATAAAGCAAAATTGAAAAATTATTTTCTAAATAAAGACGATACACTCGAGTTTAAATGATGTCAAATTTCTTTATACGAGTTAATACTTAACATACTGAGCATTTTAACAAAAAAAACTATGACAACTTGTTTTTAATTTTCTAATCAAAAATATTCAGGGCAATTCAGTGAACATAATCATATCCATATTTTATTTTAAATACTCAGAGTTTGAACATGCTTGAACATGATCATTGAGGTCAAAAATATAAAACTTTATCTGTATTTAATATACTATATATGGGAAGGCCAGGTATTATGACGCACTTAAGGATTGCTAATAGTAAAAAATTTTAGAAAAAGTATTTATCCACAAAATTTATTGAAATAAAATAACATTCGATTTGCTATCTAATTATAAAAAAAATTGATATTTGGAACTTCTAAAATCTATCTAAAACTGATATGTTTTTTTGTACGTATTATGGCATATTGATGTTCATACGTATTGTGTTAAGAAATCCATTTTATATTTTGTACGTATAGATAGAATTTTGCATATTACTTTTGCATTAATATAAATGCCTATCCCGATGGAACAAAAAGAATTGAATTTCACACGATATCGATATATAATTACGGTAATATATAGGTAATATACCGTTTGGACCTAATGATGTCATTTACTTGATTGGTCAGCCAATCTGTTTTTATCAATACTATACGCGTATACAGTGTTTATTTTTCACGTACCCGCACCTATGCGGATCCAATTTGATTAGGATCCGCACAGTGCATACTGTGAAAAATAAACACTGCGCGTGTTTATTTCACAAGTTTGCAAGTATATAAGGTTCACTTTTCACTTTTTATTTTTCTTTATCGTTATTCTGATACTACACTTTTTCTTCCTTATCCCTTATTTTTTTCCTTTAATTTTTCTATTCGTCTTTTTTTCTTCTTTGATACTACACTTTTTAATATACACCCGTTTTTATGGTCGTAAACAGAAAGTTTATGATATTTTGAATGTACTTAACGTTCTCTGAGAATATTCCAGATAACGTTAATAATATTATAATACTTTCTGTTTGTTTATTTCCTCCTTTTAATTTCCTTCGTTTTATTTCCTTCTTTTTTTTCTCGTGTTCCTTTCGAGCGGGTCACGTTTTGGCAACGTGAACTTTAAAGCATAAAACTGACAAGCGGCAGGGGTTATTTAATCAGTTCTTGCTCGAAGAACTGACGTTTGATAAAATTCCCAGCTCACTTGAGTTTTCGCGAGTTCTTTGTCAAACCATTTTTTTTTTTCTCGTGTTCCTTTCGAGCAGGTCACGCCTTCGACAACGTGAACTTTAAAGCCAAAACCGACAAGCGGCAGGGGTTATCTAATCAGTTTTTGCTCGAGAAGCTGAGGTTTGATAGAATTCCCAGCTCACTTGGGTTTTCGCAAGTTCTTTGTCAAGACATTTCCCTAGTCATAGGATACACCTCTACGTGGTGACTAGGACAAGTAAGCTATTTTTTTTTTCTTTTAGCTGAAACTAAGTATCCTTTAACACGAAAAAGATTATATCGATCATGGTTGTAAAAAATTATATAGTCGAAAATAAAAAGAGTTATATAGTTATATAGTATAATATAAAAAAATTATGCACATGTATATTTTTTAGTTCAAAGTATTATTTATAATAAATAAATAAAGCGTTTTTTGTATTAATTAAGATTTTTTATTGAAATTATTTTTTTTTAACTATTAATAACTTCGATTTTGATAATGTTAAGCATAATGACTATAAAAAATAAATAAGGCCGAAACATTTGTTTTAATAAGAAAATAAAGAACTGTATAGTGAGCGACTATAAAGTCTTTAGAAATTTTCAATATAGATTATAAAGCATGTAAAATTTGACTCAACGATAATAATTTGTTTTTACATTATGCTGATTAACAATGTTAAATTCAATTCTTCAGCTTTCCATAACTAATATTAATATATTTGTTTTTTTTTTGAGAAATGTACATATCTACCTTTATCAATTATGATTACAAACAATCTTATGAAATGACAATATAAATGTTTTTAGAATTGAAGATAATGTCCGAGCAATGATTAAAAGGGTAAACAGTAATATTACAAGGCTGTACTTTGTAATAACAAGGCATTCAAATTCCAATTCTGGCGAATATTGTTCTTAGAAGTGTAAATAGTAATAAGGATCAAGTACCGTATTATAATGAATATCTAGTTTCTAACTATATCATGTTTAGTAACGATATTGCAGTCTGGTCGAAGAATCAAAACCAACAGACAATTAGGTGGAGGGCAGATCTTGAGACGGATTTAACCCAACAGTAGTTTGATTGGTTTGGGAGCTTATAAGGAAATTAAACATATATATGCAAAGTTAATATAATTTCTAAATGAAACGTTAATAAACTTAAAGTTTGAGCAAATTATATATTATGTACAAATAAAGCTGACCTTTGCAGTATCTACATAATTGTGTTTATTTCTTAAATATGCATTTCTAAATTTTTCTTGACAAAATGATCTGAATTCCAAAGTGGAACAGACGTAAGTATTATTTTGAATATGCCCACATATATTCTATAAAACACACGATTGCCCATAGAACTCTCTTTATTTCATAAAAAATATTGTTGAAAAGCATGCAACTAGTTCTGATCCCGATAATGCTCTACAAGTACTGTACGTACATAAATAATAGAGTCCATAATTTTCCCATTCTCTAAATACGCATGTAACTTAGACCTAGTCTAAAAGCAAACACTTATTATTTATGGCTGTATGTCAAATATCTTTTTATTGAGATCAAGCACTGTAATACTATTAGGCTACTGTACAATGAATAACCTAGTTTGTTTGTAAAAAAATTTTTTTACTCTATATCAATTTGTCAAAGAATGCAATCCTAATTTAAATGAGATAAATATATTTCTTCATCAAAACCTGATAGAAAATGAAATTACAAAAAAAAAAAAAAAAAAAAAAAAAAGGATATAAATGACAACATAACTAAATACAAAACAAAATTCGTAAATTCCTATTGTCGGAATAAACATGATTAATAATAAAGCCCACCATTATTCAGCCCACATTATTCGCTTTAAATACCCATAGTTATTATACAAGATAATAAAAGACTAATACTGTATAACATCATACTGTACTATGTAACAAAAGAATTCTCGTATTATGAGTATCTTTTCTTACTAAAAGTACCAGCTATATCCCAAACGAACGAAATAATGTACAAGAGGCAACAGAGCACTGTGAAAGCAATGCTGGTATTGTACAAATTACACCTAATTCAAAAAAGAAAAATTAGCATTAGATATCAACTTTTATTAAAAAAAAAAATTTACTTACGATGTAGTACCAATTGGACATTTAAAATCACCAATCATGAAAACCATTAAAACACCAAAAGATATTGCAAATACCAGATCAATTAAGTGCAATAAGATTCTATTAATTTTTTTCGCACTGCCGAATCTACGAAAACAATAAAGAAAAACGAAGTATATTGAAACTAGAATCGATATTGAGGCGACTATGTGCAAAAATATTATTGCTAATGTATTTGCGCCTGTTGGTGCTAGTTGTTGTGCAACCTGCCATGTGAAATATAAATTTTATTAATCCATTGCGATTGTTCAAAAAGATTTTTTTTTAGAATCGGTACATACGATAGGTGAACAAAGATTGAAAAATTCTGCACCAACACTGGCTAACAATGTAAAAAATCTAAGACAACATCTTTTCCCACTTGGTATATGTTTCTTTTCCTTATGCTTGATGTTTAATTTATCTGGATCAGATGTTTCAATTCCTGGGTTTACAACACCAGCAACCTCCAACGATACGCTATTATCCTTAATCGATGAACTATTTAGTTCGTTATCCCCTGTGATACCGGTATAGTATTATTAGTATTACCCGAATTATCTTAAGGGACATTATGAATGTTAGTAGATAAAAAAAATAAAAAAAAACCTTTTTCTTCTTTAGAAAGGAATGGATTTGTTTCGGCAGACATTTTTCAGTACTTTTTTAAAGGAATGGCTAGAAGTATAAGTTTGAATTTCATTTAATTGTGCGCGACATAAAAACTATACAATAACGATAGCTGATATTAGTGGCTTTGACACGCTGCTAAATAAGGATTTTACGCCTTGATTGTATCAGATCATTATCGATCACGATTGTTGATATCATCTGAACCTTTCCCACAATCATTAAGAAATTCAGAGTAATAAAATTGTTGTGAGAGAAGAATAACCTTTTAGCATTACTTAAAATTTGGCATTTAATAATGGCATATACGCGGCAAAATAATTACGTTTCGATATCTCATACACGTGTTATATCGAAGAATAGAGATTTTGATTATCAAGACAATTTCAATCCGGATTCATTCTTGTCGAAACCAAGATTACTATAGTCAGTCGGGTGATTCCAAGTTAAACACGGAATTTATTAAATACGGCAAAGATGTGTATGAAGACTAGTGAACCAAATCGTTATTTGAAACTAGTTGATAACAAGGCTATACAAAATTAGTTAATTGTTTCTCATACAGTAACTCAGCCGGCTCAACTTTTTTAAAACTTGATAAAAATAAATATTTTTGGAAAAAATATTAAACTGAAGTTTAATAAGTTGCAAAGAGTTTTTAGAAGAGAAAAAAACAAAAAAGAAAATTTGCAAATTGCAATTTTCTATTATATTTTGTATAACTGTATATGTGTATAAATAAAAATTTTAAATATTATTAAAAAAATTTTATTTAAATATTTTAATTTTTAATAATAAAAAAGACAGATTATAACCAAATTTATATCAATTTTTTTTTAGACAAATTTATCCGGAATTGCTTTATAGTTTAAAGAATAATACTTTTTAAATACAGTCAGACCTTCCTAAATACAACTTCTCTAAATACATGTCTTTTCTTGAGCCCAATTAATATTACACCTATAGGTTTTTACCTTCCTAAATGCAATACCTCTCTAAATGCTCGTTTAGCTAAATTTTTACATATGGGTTAGGTGCTGAGAAAAGATTTACAATATAAATATTGATCTCTTTTTTTGTCAATTTCGTCCCTTTTCTCAGCATCTAGCCCATCCCGTCATAATGCATACAGTATTTTAATAACTATTTAACCAATTTTAATAATATTATCTACAGTATTTTATAACTTTATGAATGAAAAATTTAAAAACTTTTATTTATCGCGTTTTTCGAAATGGTTGAAAATGGGAAAAAAAAAAAATTTTCGAGTATACCCGTATACTGTATACCGGATTACCTTGATTACATACGTACTTATTGAAACAATTAGTAAACCAAGCATCGATCTTCAATCAAGGTGCGAAGGTAACCTAGTATACAGTATATGGGTATACTTGAAAAAAAATTTTTTTTTACTTTTAAAGTTTATTAAATAAATAAATTAAAAAATTTTAAATAAAAATCTAAAATTTTAAAAGCTTTATACTATGTATATACTGTATTTATTTATACCTAATCTTTAATTTAGTTTATAACTATATTTTAAACTATTAATATAACTCTTTTATACTATATTTATTTTAAATTTTAGCAAAAAACATATTTATATTAACAATACTATATTATAAATATACAATATTATAAATATACAATATATTGCAATTATTATATAAATTTATTAGCCTAATACAGGTTATAATAGTATATTATATTTCTGTTTTTGTTTTTTTGTTTTTTGTTTTTTTAAAATTATATCTGATTTTTTATTTTTTAATAGAAGTAGATTTTGATTTTGTTAGTTTTAAAGCTTTTTTTTTGCTTTTTGTTTTTTTTTTTTTTTTTTTTTTTTTTTTTTTTTTTTTTTTTTTTTTTTTTTTTTTTTTTTTTTTTTTTTTT